TTTTCGTTTTTTTTTTTTTTTTTTTTTTTTTTAAATAACCCACGTGAAACTTTCTTCAGTTTCTTACAGAAAGTTTTAACGCAAAGTTCAGGCAGGTCCATTCTTCTAATGCGTCGCACGTGACAGGTGTATCAAATCGTGACAACTCGCGTTATCTGACGTACGTATCGACTCGTAAGATTTGATTATTGCGAAATCGCCATATATCCTTACTACTGCTCGCAACGTAGTTACGTATTTTTTTGGAAATTTTTTTACTCCAGGCACTTGGATATGCAATTACAAGAACCCATATATACAGTAATAGAAAATTAATTTACAAACAGGTACCGACTGTCCAACTGCAAAGAATGGTGAGACCAATACGTACACATTGAAAAACCTTGGGGCCTCTTTTCATGGAACTGTCAGTGATATCGCGATTGTGCACACTGGAGGTCGCCAATGACTTGACAGACATTAAAACGATGACTTGTAAACCGCCCAAGAAACGTCCCACTTGTCCTCACCAGTTTCTGCTCAGCGATTGGTACACCTGTTTCAATGATTTACACGTGACAGACTACCGATGATGATTAATCAATTATTTAATTGGACATTTTAATTATTTAAAGATAATATATAATTATATACGAATATACAGTAATGCAGGAGAGTTTACGAAAAAATTATATCTCAAATTCGAACTTTTATTTTTCTCTCGTACGAATTATGCATTTTCAACAAAGCGACCTAAATGCATTTGGCTACCAAAATGGTCGATTGTAAATAATATTTGGATCCGATCAAATGGAATTATTATCGCGAAATTTCGAACTGTATCAAATCATCGATCGTGGCTCGTGCACAATTAAAATCTTGCGTAATATTTTTTTTTTACTAGATCTTGACGCAACAATGAAACAAAATAATATATATATATTTTTTTATGTATTCATACTTTATGCTCTCTATTTCAATAACGTAATGCTCAATGATCTGTATCCACAGTGAAAATAATAATAATCATCCGATAAGAATAACAGACCTATAAGATCAGATCGATTTCTAAGTGTTGTTATTAATTATCCATCGATCGAAAGTCACTTCAAAACACTTTGGGTTCATGGTCAAGTATCAGTGAAAGGATTTTGATATTTTCTTAAGACAAATCATGGAGCTCGCGTGTCGAGATTATCGTATCCGCGTTTGGTCGTCGTTTGCGGAAGGTTGTAGGAAATTGAAAGATAAGAAAAAGAAAAAAAAAAAAAAAAATGATAACATCGTTCGAATATTGATTATGAAAAATTTTTATCGATTTCAGGTAATTCAAAGGAGAGACGATTTTGGGGAACCACGTGAGAATTTCAATAGGGACTGGGCCGATTACAAAAATGGATTTGGCGATCCCGCTAGGGAATTTTGGCTTGGTAACGAAAATATTTACATGCTTACCAACAACGAGGATTACATGCTGAGAGTCGAATTGGAAGATTTCGAGGGGAACAAGAGGTAAAGAAAAATTTGGATAAAGGAATAATAAGAAAGATTGATTTTTTTTCGAGATATCATCTGGCCTCAGCATCCGTGAGGATCTTGAGAAATTTTTGATCTTTTAAAATTATAGTCATACCGATTTATGGTTAACGACTGGAATTATCATGGTCGATTAACTATCGCTTTCGATAGTGAATTCATTACGGCATTCTTCTTGGACTTGGCAAGACCTCCAAACTTCTTTTACCGATCTTCACCGGATGGATTTCTCGGTTTACTTTCCTGTAACCTAGAATAGCAATCGATCTAAATGATCGGGCGTGCAAAACACATAATAACGGTTGACTGACTATTTACAGTATTTCAGATCGATAATGTAAATTGTACAGAAGTCTTGACTAGGACTGTACACTTTATAGATCTTAATTCGTATAGATATGTGAAACGAGTATACAAGAAATCAGTGAAATTGAACATATCAGTTATATCGGATGAATATATTAGGTAAAGATACACAAATATATCTTTGCATATTTTATTTTTGAAACAAATATAATTTAAATTACAAAAAATCCAAGTGAAAAATATATCAGATATATTACATATAAATGTAATGTAAAAAGTACAAAAATCTTAACTCGATCTTCGAGTCATAAATAATAATATCTTCTTACAAAGTCGTACAGTAGATACAGAATGTAATCGGTCAGACTTGTTCACGTCGCTGAAAAGATTTTACTTAAAGGTTGGCTGCACAGTCTCTGCTGTAGAGTTAAATATCGTTAGCACATATTCGCATAAAAGGAGCATCTTCCTTTCTATGGGATTTATTACTGCATAAGCTGTACCGAACACATGCGCCTTCACTAACCTCGAAACGTGCTGGAGTCTAACGATACATCAGAAACCGGCCGATTCGTTTGATTACGAAACTGGTACATATGGCGTTTGGCCATAGGTGCCAGTTAATATGGCGAAAGGTCGTTGAAATTAGCAGCCACTCGCCGTTCGGAACGATCGGTAATTGTTAACTCGGCATTAGAAACGGTAACAGGTACGATGACGTTTCTCTATTCACTAGGAATAGCATTGTACCACGTGGTTAGAAATTTTCAATAATCGATGCTACGAAATTGGTGACTCGAGGTAACGTAAAAATCTTGATGATAATAAAATCGTGAAAAAAAAAGAAAAAAAAAAGAAGCGACTTTCTCCAAAATAATGGAACTCTTGTTCCTTTTATCAATTCCCGGGTATTGTTCGGTTATCGATTGGAATCAATTATCGATTCGATTATCGATTGTGTCACTTGATGGGAACTGAAAGACCTTTTTATTGCCAAAATATCATTTCGAAATTAATCATTACCTTTTTTACATTCATCGCTCGATCCGAAATGAAGCGGTGATGATGTCTGACGGATCACGTACTATTTTCACTATTATTACCAACCACGTTTTGAATAGCCCGCCATTAGTCATTCGACGTTATCGTTTTTTTTTTATATCGCAAGAATATCCTTGTTGAATTCTTAACAATCGCGCGTTGACTAACGGCAAATGTTCTCACGGACTTCGCACGCATTTTGATTGAAAATGAAAGTGCGTACACTTTGTACGCGCATTTTTAATGTGTTTGCATATGCAGTACGGCGGTATTGATCGACGGGCGTTTGAAATTTATACGTGAAGATTCGAACGGGAATGCAGCGCTAAATGACTTTCCCTATTGCGTTGCTTAGGGTTGATTCACAGTGAAGAGTGATCGATCCGCAAAGCAGCGATTTAAAACGCTTTCCTCAAATTAATTTAGTTAGGTATCGCTTTCGATTGAAATTGGATTTGATTATTATATATAATTGTAATGAGAGAAAGAAGAGAAAGAAAAGTTTAATACGAATTTTCTTAAGAGAAATTTTTTTCCTTTTTTTTTACCAAAGACCTTTAGCCTCACTTTCATGTTATGCAAGTGCACTCGGTGCACTTGATGCAAAGTGCATTGATGGTCTGAATGCTTCCTGTTGATTTTGCTATCACGAGCGAGTCATTAGTTACTGATATGAGGAATTCGAATTTCTTTTTCAAAATAAATTTTTTAATTAAATTTGTTTTTTAGATACGCGCAATACTCGCATTTCAAAATTTACTCCGAGACTGAATACTACAAGTTGGAAATTGATGGATACGAGGGAAATGCTGGAGATTCTCTTAACGATCCTTGGTACGGATCTAATAACAGTCCATTCTCGACTTACAATCGGTAAGATATAATTTTTAAATGGACACAAATATTGGAAATTTTTTTTTTTTTGAATATTTAGAGAATTTATTTCTTTAGTGACAACGACAGATCATCCCTTAACTGCGCGTCGATGCTCAAGGGTGGTTGGTGGTGGAAGTCATGTGGACGTGGCCTTAATGGACTCTATTTGAACGATCCTCAGGATCTTACTGCCAGACAAGGTATAAAAATATTTTCAAAAATTTATTTTTTAAAAATTTTTATGCGCAGTTTATACGTTATTTATTTATCGATTTTCCTTTTTTTTCCTTTTTTCTCGTAAATTATTTTCAGGCATCGTCTGGTTCCGCTGGCGTGGTTGGGATTACACCCTGAAGAAGGCGATCATGATGATAAAACCAAAAGGACCCATGCCGATTGCATAAACAACCCCGTGATTAAATTCCTCGAGCGACTTTATGCCCTTATTAAGGATAAGCTTTTTTTTATTCGGTTAACGCGTTAATCTCGAGGCTGTTGCTCCCGACCTGTTCAGTCGATCGCAGTACCAATAATTGAGAAAATAACCGAAATCAAGTACACGTATGAGTATGGTAACACTTAACCACGCCGTAAATAATGGGCCTGAACCAAATAGGTCTTTTGAAAGCAGCCTTAGGAACCAAAAAAAAAAGAAAAAATCCGTAATAATTATTAGGTAATCGTAGCTCACACGCATAAATGCCAGTGTACGTCGATTAAGTGTGCAAAAGAATAATCGGTAATTTAATGACGATGATAAAGAAAAGAGAAAATCACCAAAAAAAAAGTTACTTCCCAATGTGATTTGACAGTTTCAATTTATGACAGGATCAATAATTGAAATTTATTATTTTATCGTGATAAAGTGCCGCAGCATTCTATTACGTATGTATTTATATTTATCCACCTTGTTCGACGAGATATTTCTCCCTTTTCGATTTAATCGCGTGCATCGCATTGTCAGTCGGATATCGATGTGCAATAAGAAAGTTGGCACGAATTTTTTGGGAAAATTAAATTCTTCCAAAAAGAAGAAACAAACAAATTTTGAATCTACCTGAACCGAATCAACGTGCGGTATGCGATATAAATGTCCGAAATCTATTTAAAACTTTTTAATTAAATTATAAAAAAATGGGATTACTTCTATAACGTTTAGATGAAGGAAGCGTAAGATGTAGGTAACGGAAGGAATTTAAGACTGTATATCTGTTGTTGCGATTTTGTTAGAAATTATTTGCGAATGTCATTTTCGCTCTTCTAACGTCGCACTAGGCTTGACCTGACCGAGCATAAAAATTTGTCATAAAAAAATTGACACTGCCCCATTTTGTCTATTCGAAAATTACACACGTTGTCTCCATATTTAATTGAAGCGGTACCATTGCCTTTGTAAGTCAAAAATAAATATTTTGTTGTGCCTCAAAAAAAAATTTTCCCTGGTACACTTTACTTTATAGAGCACTATAACAATAATGCTAATTATTAGCTCGGTCAGTGAACGGTTAATTAATAATGGACTAAGAGTAGTAGATTAATTGATAAATTGTAGTATCTAGTGAATCGAGGCTATCGGGACTATGATGCAATGTCCGAGTAACTCACAAAACAGATAAACGAGGAATGCCCAAAACGAGCAGTGCGCATGCGCAATTCACTAAATAACATATAACAATCGTTTAAGCGTTCCTTCGATGATTGCACGCAAATATGAAATATATATTTTTGTATTAATTTAAGAGCGCAGTGGGCGTTACGTATATAATTATGTTTACGTCAAAATTTAATTGTCACATCGAATTAAAAGAAAACTCACGAATCACATTTTTTTGTCAAAATAAATATATCAATAGGTTCTCTATCGTCACATTGCGCAACTGCGTACACTTCCGATATAAATATATTAATTATGGCACATCCCCATGTAAAATCTGCAATTTCTAATTCGTGTTGAAATTAATGTAACAGTGATTATTAATTATTATTTTAGATTAAGCGAATGTACGTCGAGCGTGAATCTTCGTTGGTGCGAGGTCCACTGCACATTTGAAAATTTTGCATTTATTTAAACCACTTTTTGTTTCTTCTTCGACTTATTTCGGACGATTAGAAGGAGGAGGGAGATATAGGTGATTTTGGCATTAACATAATATTAATATATGTTTTTTTTCGAAAATTCTAAAACTAAGGCGGAAGCACGAATGAAGATTCGCCAGTGACGTTTCTATCTACGACGACTATCGCCAATACAAGAAAGGCTCACGATTTGACCCACAGGATATAGAATAGTGAATAGAAATATTCATTATAAATGGAATAACTAATTGTAAATAAAACGCACGTAAAAGTATTGTAATAAGTTGTAAAAAGCCCATGAATAAATATATCTTTTGTAAAATAGTCACCTTTTGTAATATCGAGACGATGCTGACGTATTTCGAAATTCATAAAGACAGACTGCATTTTTATTAAAGCTTGTGTAGCAGGGAATTATTACAAATGATGCTTCCAATCTTTGAGCCCTCGTGCTTAGCTATGGTATGTACAGTAGTAGCGAAAAAGTATGAATTATAGGTCAAATGGGAATGGACCACGTGAACTGCGACGTTATCATTTAAGATCTGTAATCAATTTCATCTCACTCAAGAAACATCATATGGTATTGAAGTTCAGACAGACATTATAACACTGTGAACGGTCTTTATTATTAAAGATTTAATAATAATAATAATTATTATTATTACTAAACTTTATTAATTAAAGATTTAATTATTCGAGATTTTTCAAACCAATGAAACGCTAGAAGTCATTTTGAAATATTTGAGGGGAACAAGAAGAACCCTTGTGTTTGTCTTACTTAATCTATTTCTTTAGTCGTTTTGAGAATATTCCTTCGAGTAGTTTTATGGAAAATTGGGGAACGATTTCTCGTTTCATGCCACCTAGCGAGATTTTTCGAGAATTTTCCCAGATACAGCCTCCCAAAGGTGTAATTTTGAGTAGCCTCAAAATTGAAGAATAGCCTGCAAGTTCCGAAAAGTGAAGGGTTATTTTGAAAGTGGCCCTATCGCAATTTAATTTGTACTAGCCTCTTCCATGGACCACTCTAACTTCGTGCCTAGACATCTTTCAAAATATACAGGAAAAAGCTCCAAATCCAGTATGAAAATCTTACCTCGATTTTCGAGTCATCAATAATAATATATCAGTCCTCTTACAAAGTCGTACAGTAGATACAGAAGGTAATCAGTCAGAGTTGTTAACACGCTGTAAAGATTTTATATGAAGGTTGATACACAGTCTCTATGGATGCTGCAGAGTTAAATATCGTTAGCACAAATTCGCATGAAAGGAGCATCTTCCTCTCTATGGGATTTATAGCAGCTGTGTACTATTGATAAAAATTGAATTGAAATTGTAAAATGTCGAGAATAAATTACGCTCAAAGTAAAATATTAATAAATTATGTGTTCGACATATTGAAATAATTAATAAAATCAATAAAATTAGGTAATAACACTTAGAACACAGAAATCCTCTCCAAGAATATTCACAATTACTGAAAGTTGCCGAAAATTGTGTGCGC